TAAAAAAAAATTAATTTCGAATATTTGTAAAAATAAAAATACCATTAAAATGTTTAATAACCCATTTCAATTTTCATTGTTTACAAAAACCACAAACATACCTATCAATCTACCACTAACAAGCCTTCACAATCATCCCTAACATAAACACTATCATCATCAAAAGCTTCATCATCCAAATCATCGACTTCTTGTACAGGCAAAGGTGCACCACCTAAATCCTTTTCTGTTTCCAATTCATGATAGCCTCTAGGTGATGCTCTCATAACAACATACCAATTTGAATTATCATCTTCCCTAGAATAGAAAACCTGTTTTGCTTGAGAAGGTAGAATGAATGGATCTTTCAAATAGGCTGTTTGGTTCATATGAAGGTTAACAAGAGTGAAACCATCTTCCTCCTTCACACCATTCCCTGTGTTGGCCCAATTGCATCTAAACAGCGGCACTTTGAACATGTCATAGTCCATAAGTAAAATCTCCTTTATCACTCCATAATATGTAAGCACATTAGCGACTTGTCTCATATCTCGAGCACTTGATCTACACATGCTAAATGCTTCATAAGTTATGCCACTGTTTTGTGTCTTCCGCTTAACCGCATCTGTACGAAACCGTTGCCCATTAACGATAAATCCTTTATGTGCTAAAGCAACATTTCTTGGTCCAAATGCCAACCACCTTATCTCCTTAGAATGACTATTTCTTGAGTCTGAATGAATCTGCAACAGCAAAACATGATCAGGAAGCTAACAATTAATCTGTGCCAAGAAAACCAGACATCAAGCTACAAGCTAAGCTAACCAGTCATTAAGCAAAACGTGATCATGAAGCTAACAATTTTGTGCCAAGAAAACCAGACATCAAGCTACAAGCTAAGCTAACCAGTCATTAAGCAAAACATGATCATGAAGCTAACAATTCTGTGCCAAGAAAACCAGACATCAAGCTACAAGCTAAGCTAACCAGTCATTAAGCAAAACATGATCATGAAGCTAACAATTCTGTGCCAAGAAAACCAGACATCAAGCTAACCAGTCAATTTAACAAGCTGTATAACAAATAATCAAGAAGACAAGTTGCAGCTGTAAACCTTTTTTTTAAGCCATTGTGCAAACTGCTCAGTATGGTTTTTCCATAACAAAGTTTCACTTTTAGCACATCGAGCATCATTAGCTTGTAATTCTTCCAAATGCATCCTGATTTTACATTAAACAACAGTCTTGAGAATGAAATTATAATCATAATTAGTAGATGAGACATAAAGGGTAACCTCTTACTCTACATAAGGATCCAAAGATGCCATGTTCATTAGCACATAGCGATGTGCATTGTCTCTATCTTTATCTGATAGGGTAACTTCTATACCCTTCTGCAGAGGTCGACCTTCAACCACGCTTCTATCAGCCTCAATATCTTCATTGCGATTAGCTGTTTCTTGAACTGGTACTGAATCTTTAAGGAACTCTAAACAAAATGCAACGCATTCTCCAGCTAAATACCCCTCAGCCATACATGCTTCTGGCCTTGCATGATTCTTAACAAAAGCCTTAAGTGTTTTCATGTACCTATAACTCAGTCAAGAAATGAATATTAGTCCAATATCATTGCAGTAAATACATATATTGAATCAAATGAGTACATATATCAAACCTTTCAAATGGATACATCCAGCGAAAGTGTACTGGTCCTCCCAAACGTGCTTCTTTTGATAGATGTATTGGAAGGTGGAACATGATATCAAAAAGGGATAGAGGGAAGAAGCGCTCCAGTTGACACATTGTTTCCACAAACTCTGTCTCCATTGTCATAAGTTTCTCCGGGTCGATGATGCGCTGACACAACCTGTTGAAGTAACTGCATAATCTATTTATGGTAATCCTAGGACCCTTATGTAACAACCCTCTTAATGCAGCTGGTAACAAGTTCTGTACTAGGACATGATGATCATGCGACTTTAAACTACCTATATTTGGAGGGGTAACTGAAACACTATTTGCAATATTACCACAATAACCATCAGGACCTCTAAACTTAGATAATCTTTGGCAGAAAATTGTCTTCTCTTTCTTGGATAACCAATAGGCTGCTGGAGGTAAGTATGTTTTCTTTCCCCGGACCTCTGTGTGCAAGTGATTTCTGATTCCAATATCTTCTAAGTCTTTTCTTGCTTTCAAACCATCTTTTGACTTAGCACTTTGCATCAAGATAGACAATATAGCATCTGAGACGTTCTTTTCTACGTGCATAACATCAATATTGTGACGAACAAGCAAATCCTAACACATTAAATAAGAAACTGTTAGGCTTATTCAGATCCAACAATAAGAGAATATAGTTCAAATAGTTTACATTACCTTCCAGTAAGATAGTTCAAAGAATATTGATCTCTTCTTCCACCGCCATATATCATTTGATTCTTCACACTCTTCTTCTTCAACCACCTCATCTTGATCCAACTCAGTTCTTTTTCTTTTAGTTTCCTTATCTAGAGGTTTTCCAAAATCATTCCTAAAAGCTTGTAGTGTCTCATATATTTCAGAGCCAGTTTGTATCCTATTGGCAGTCCCTTCCTCAACAGTGTTGTCAAACCAAGCTTTTTTATATCTGTAACGATGGCCAGGCGGTAGTCTCTTTCTATTCCCCATATAGACAAACTTACGGCTAAACTTAAGCCATCTGGAAGGTGTATGCTTTCCACATACATTGCAAGCTTGTTTCCCTTTCACTTTACATCCAGACAATGTTCCTAAGGCTGGATAGTCACTGATACTCCAAAGCAGCATGGCTCTAAGTGTGAAATTCTCCTTTGCAAATGAGTCATACACTTCAATACCCTCAGCCCACAAATCTTTTAAATCGTCTATCAGTGGTGCCAAGTAAACATCTATGTTATTACCAGGAGCTGTTGGACCAGGGATCAACAAAGTCAACATTATATTCTCAGCCTTCATACACATAGTTGGAGGCGTGTTATAGTTCACCAACATCACTGGCCATGTGCTGTGATTGGTGTTTTGCATGGAGAAAGGGTTCATCCCATCTGAAGAAATTCCAAGTCGAAGATTCCTTGGTTCAGCAGCAAAGTCTGGCCATTTATCATTCACTTGTGCACACTGGATAGAATCAACGGGGTGTCGCATTGTACCATCTTCAGTGCCATTCGTATAGTGCCACCTCAAATCTTCAGCCATCTTTTTTGATCTAAACATCCTCTTAAATCTGTCCTTGATTGGAAAATATCTAAGGACCTTTGCTGGAATCCCAACCTTTATCTCATTACTATGCTTATCCTTTTCCCATCTTGAAACTTTGCATCTTGGACAGCTATCTAACTTCTCAAACTCCTTCCTATATAGTATGCAATCGTTCTTGCAAGCATGAATATTTTCATATCCGAAACCAAATATCTTCAGTAATTTCTTGATTGCAGCTAAACTCTTCGGAAGTATATTGTCTTCAGGTAGCATGTCCTGAATTAAACCCAACAGCTGATCAAAGTAGTTCTCCGACACACCACTCTTAACCTTGAATCTGTAAAGTCCCATAATTGCTGAAACCTTTGTGTATTTGATACAATCAGAGTACAATGGAGTTTAAGCTTCTCTTAACTTTTTCCTAAACTCAGTTTCCTCTACTGCTTCATCGTCGTTTGCCTCTAATGCTTCATCATCATCATCATCACCCATAGAAAATGCTGTCTTAAACAAGTCAAATGCCTCTGTTTCATGTTGAGGAGCATTGTCTTCTGTATCTGCTCTTTTTTCACCATGAAAATTCCAACAAGAAGTCTTATACTTCTTATCCATACCCCTAAGCACTAGATGCTCAACAATTTCCTCTATAGACTGATGGCATAAATTGCGGCAATCTCTACATGGGCATAACATTTCAGATAGATTTCCCAATCTTCTTGCAGATGAATTGGCGAAATTCGTTGCTCCTTCTGAGTACTCGATAGTATTCCTACATTGTCAATTGGAAAAGAATTCAGATTTCTTTCAATCAGATAATATAAGTAAGCTCGATAGAATTAAGTGTATACCTTGGCAGCGAGATCCACGTCTTATCCATTTGGTCACGATGGAGATGAATCCGTTCTGAAATGATGAACTTTTGGTAAAATCGAGTTGGGGAAATCGAGTTCTCTGAAAATTTGTGTTCTGAAATGATAAACCCTAAATCGAGTTCTGTTGGAATTGTCTGAAAGTATAAAAAATGAACGGCTGGGATCAAAATTAGTGAAACGAATCAACGGTCTAGGTTCAATAAGCTTGCAATCTCGGTAGTTACTGCTTATTGGCTAAGAACATGAACGGCTCAGATCAAATCAGCGATACAGATCAAGGGTGTATATTAATCGCGTCAACAATAAGAAAGGACGGCTCAGATCAAAGTCGGCGCGATCTAACGGTGCAAGATTCGTCCCACAATGTGGGAGGTGAGTTCTCATTGGCTAGTAATGAAAAAATCATAAAATTATCATATAAAATTTTTTATTAATGAAAAAAATATAAATTATTTCTTTAAAAATACAATATATGTATTTCAATTTTTAGAATATTTTTTCTTATAAGTATAAAATTTTAAAATTAAGAACAATTAATATAGGTTAGTATTCCAACTATCTAACTTATATGTTCATATACACTAAGGCATAGTTTAGGGTTTAGGGTTTAAACTTTGGAATTTAGATTTTTTTACTCAAGTATTTATGTTTTATAGTTTAAACTTTAATTTAGAGTTTTAAAGATTTAATTTAATTAGGATTTTAACTTTAATTTAGAGTTTAGGGTTTAGGGTTTAGGGTTAGGGTTTAGGGTTTAAACTTTGGGATTTAGATTTTTTTACTCAAGTATTTATGTGTTATAGTTTAAACTTTAATTTAGAGTTTAAAGATTTAATTTAATTAGGATTTTAACTTTAATTTAGGGTTAGGGTTTAGGGTTTAGGGTTTAGGGTTTAGGGTTTAGAGATTTAATTTAAGATTTTAACTTTAATTTAGAGTTTAATTTATACCATAATATTACACAAAGTACCAATACCATAATCTAATATCACAATACCAATATGCTAATATCACAATACAAATATGCTAATATCACAATACAAATATTATACAATCTAATATCCATAACCGGCAATACCAATACAATACCAATATCACAATTGGCTAAGTTTCACACAAACTTCACTTTCTCGGTTGGCCAAGGTACAACTGAACCTACTGCATCAGAAATGAATACAAACTCTGAATTTGGCCTCCAGACCTTTGCATTACCAATCTTAATCAAATCTACAGAGACCTTGCTTGCATTTGGACCGAGGGGCACATTATGGCACTTATCTTCTGGATCTGTTGACATCACTGTTCCTTCAGCTACAATACGACCAGAATTGTTGCAGTCTAAAAGAACACACTTCTGCTTTGGACTTTTGGTGGAACTATTGCTGCCTGGACTCTACAACTCAAAGCAAATAATAGAAGCAAGTTCCAACATCAATGAAAGTCCCAACATCAATCAACAGACAAACAAATGAAAAACTTAATTTCAATAACATACCACTGATTTAGTTAGTGTTGGTTCTGGAGTGGCTGTAGCCGTGACATCAATCTTTAGGACTGGCCATGCGATTTTTTCATGAATTGCTTCACCAATTACACTAATATCAGCAGTTGGCCTCCACAAAGGAGCATTAAAATTGAACACCTTCACAACTTGAAGACTAACAGCACCAGGACCTAGAGGAATATTGTTAACCCTCTCTTTGGAGTTAGATGAGCACACGATACCTTCAGCAATAAGCTCATCATTCTCTATATTTTCCCAATCAAATATTTTGCAGCTTCGAGTTTCACCTTCCTTGTTTGGCTAAAATGTAAGAGGCTAATGATTAGATATATATCAATTCACCAAAAGAAAATGATATTGGAATTTAAAACTTTACCCCTAAGGATACATCTTCAGAAGTGAATGGAGCCCTAAGCACTTTGTCCATTGGCCAAGATATTTTGCATCCAACAGCTTCCTTAAGATATAACACATCTGATGTAGGCCTCCAGAGAGAAGCTGTTGAGCTTAGTACAGAACTAACAATGACAACCACTGCATTAGGACCAATTGGTACACGACCAATTTTGTACATCGGTTCATCAGAACAGAATTCTCCTTCACCAACAACTACTTCTCTTGAATGAATCCAATCCAGTAGTTGTACTCTATCTCCTACTTTGAATACACCACTACTCTCACATGTTTCAGTCTCACAATAACTTTTCTGAGATAAGGAAAAGGAATTTTGTTAATGTCTTAAAACCAGACCAATTGACTAAATGTAATGAAAAGGATTACCTTCTTTCCAGCTAAGTCTCTAAACATTCCCTTCAACTCATCAATCTCACTTTTCATTTCTGCCATTTTTGCGTCTCTAGCTTGCATAAACGCTAACTTAGTAGCCGTGATCCCTCTACCAAACCCCCTTACTCGTCCAGGTTTGTCTTTTCCCAAAATCTGGCTCACAGCATCTTCCCTTATGTTATCAGCAGCTGATGTAGAGTCCATTTCACTATCAAGTGATTGTATTTGTTTCTGAGACAAACATTCAAACATAATATTAAAACTCATTGATCATGATGCATTACTTACACACAATATAACAAGTTCCAGAATTCTTACAATAGTCTCAGCAAATTGAGGCTTCACAGGTCTACCATCAGCATGAGTGTGTCCCGCTAACCATACCTTAGTCCTAGTCACCTTACTTGGGTTTGAACTCTTTTTTTTCTATATAAAGTACATATACATATCTCAGTACCATATTATGCTAACAAGATATACAATATATATAGATATTGACAACTATTATTACCATATCATCAGCTAAACGAACCAATCCTTTGCGGCTGGAGGTTTGAGGAATCTGATCATGTCTCAACTTCCTCATCTTGTTACTTACTTCCTACATTATAAATATGAGTGTGATTAAATCTATAAGACATGACATATAAACATATAAACTTCATACTAACCGTAAAAGCTTTGCTAGTCTTGCTCTTAACCCAAGAGTTCCACACTTGAATGGATGGGATGTTGCTGGGTTTTAAAGCTAGTATATCAGTAGCTGTCTCAGCAGCACGTACTTTTGTCACTAGCCTTGACTTCATACCCCTAAAGATATTACACATTTGCTTCATAATAACAGCTTTTTTCCATTCTTCTTCCATGTTAAACCTCCCCTGCATCAAGTACAACAAGCAAAGGTCAAACATGTTTCATATCTGTTAAACAAAAAATTAGTTGCATATATATAAATATATACCTGAATTTGTTCCCACAATGTTTCTTTAGTCGCTGCATCAACTTCTCTCCAATCAGAAATTGTAACCGGAATGAATTGACTCACGAGGACCCCAAGAAAAGATGATAATCTTACTGAACCAGTTCCAACATGATCACCAAAGTCAGTGAAAGAAACTGAAACCCTTTCATTAGGATTTTCAGCCACTTTACGCATCTTTGTTGGTCCTCTTTTTCTTCTTACTTTCACTCTTTCTTCTGGTACCTGACTTCCTTCATCAGTGTTGGTAGAAATCGCTTTATCTTGACCATTGCCAACACCATCTTCTTCCATATTGGCAACTTCTTCATTATTCGCAGCTACTTCCATAGTGGCAGCTTCTTCTTGATGATACTCCTGCTGGTCCTGTCCAGTCAAACAAGCTTCTTCTTCTATATTGGCAACTTCTTCTTCATCCTCCTCCTGGCCCTGTCCAGTCAAACATCCTTCTCCTTCATTCTCATCTTCACACATTGCTTTCTCAGTCTGATCAGCCTCCGGTGTTATATCTTTGTCATTACCCTTTTCTTCTTCCACAGCTTCTGGTGTTACATCTTCTACCTCATCATCTACAGCAGCCACTTTCGGTGTAACATCTTCTACCTCATCATCTATAGCAGCCACTTTCTTGGCTCTAGTACTACTTCTTCTCCGAGCCACTTTATTTGTTGTTTTCTTCTTATTCACCTTCTTATTAACCTTTAGTGTTGTTGCAGGAGCAACATCTTCTACCTCCAAGCCTTGATTACGCCTACTACGACGAGCACAAACTTGACCTCCTCCTCTTGTCTTTGCCATTTTCTGAAACTGATGAAGAACAGTTTCAATCAACATAAAATCGAAACCAAAAATCATAATCAAAACCCAAACTTCGAATTAAAACCCAAAATCAAAATCGATTTCACAATTGAAACAATATATGTGCCAGACTTCGACATGCATGTTAACTAAATGTAAGAATGAAAACCCAAAATCAAAATCGATTTTGAATTTGGAATTCAAAATCGATTTCACACAACCCCAAATCAAATTAGTTTTCCAGAGAACAAAGAAATTAAACGGCTCAGATCGAATGAGAACATACCTGTTCGAGATCGATAGAAACCGACTTAGATCGAGAGGGAGATGAGTTGAAGATTTTTTTTGTTCTCTGTTAGAGAAGTCGAGTGAAGTCGAGAGAAGAAGTTAGATTTTTTTTTTGCTTTAGGGAAAAAATGAAAAAGTTTTCTTTTATTTTGCCTTAGACAAAATTTCACAATTTTCCCTCTTAACATTTTCAATAGCGGGAAAGAGACTTTAGTAACCCGAAAATTGGCCGCGTGAATTGCATATATCCCGCTTCAATCATTTATAGCGTTTACAATTCAGAAAACGCTATCTATTAAGTAAAACATAGCAGAGACATAAAAAACGCTATCTTTTAGTGCTATCAATACCCACATTCACATACAAGTCTTCTGATGCTCTAATACAGTAGAAAATCTATAAATTAATACAGTTGGGACTATGATATTTTATTAATTTATCGAATTATTAATTTATCGATATATTAATTACCTCGAAAACCAAATTTGGGACCGAAAAAATGTATTGATTTCTCGAGGTATTAATTTATCGAGTATTAATTTGTAGATGTTATACTGTATACATATTATTATTCTATCTTTTTATGAGAAAATAAAACATACGTTTTTAAATTCGAAAGAAAAAAATGAACATTCTTCTGCAGACTACGCTTGTTACAATTTTTCCGAGACGAGTGAATAATATTTGTGAAAACTTACTAAAATGACATGATGTTATGATGATGACATTCGAACCAAATCAAATCGGTAATGAACAAGATATGGATGATAGAAAAGAGAATCGACTACTTTTGAAAATGAATAGGCGTGGATTGATTCGGCAATGTCCCATATACAACAGTACTGATTCTTTAATTTAATGGTCAAACCTATCATTCTATATAACAATATCCAAAATAGGTAATAGAAAAATGCAACCCATCATAAAAAATTTCCTATTTTAGAAATTCTAAGGAAAATGATTTTTATTTTTAATTAGAGATGAAGAACAACTTGCCCATACCATAAGGCAGAAGCATCAATTCAAAGGAACATATTTTTTTTTACACATTGCGCTAATTATAAAAGGGAACATATATATACTTGATTTAGTAATTATTAGTATATCAACTAAATAGTAAAAAGTATGCATGCGAAGTAGTGAGAATAATAAGCAATATGAAAATTTTAACAAAAAAAGGAGCAATATAAAATAAATTAATTAAGAACATTTGATCAACCACAATGAGTTAACAACCCACGTTTATATATATGTTGAAAAGCTTTTTATCTTTAGCCAATATATTATTTAGGTTTGAGACTATCTTTTAATAATACTTAATATTATCATGCGGTTCTATAAATCATAAACTACTACATTCAAACTTAAAAAATATATTTGTATATATATTCGAATATACAGACTGAAATCTTATCTGCATTTGATTGATCGTTTTAATTGAACTCACATCATTTTAATTTATACAAACAAACCCTATATGATTCAACAATGTTAAGTACATTGTGGAAACTCTTAGACCCACCAATGAAATGCAATATATAATTATGTGAATGAACCGACAAGAATATTATTTTAGTGACCCGAAAAATGGTTCATTTAAAGGAATATATTCCCGTGATGGGGAATTCAAAGTTGACTATATTTAGCCCATGCAAAAAGAAAAGAGATCATATATTCCTTATACACTTCATTACTCAATATGCATATATTCCTTCTAAAGGGTTATAAAAAGAGAGCACATCCATGTGAGGAATGAGGCAAAACATATTGAGTAATGGAGTGTATAATGAGGAAGAGAGGTCTAACATGGCGAAAAGAGTCATGTTTAATAGCCAAGGATGACTTGCCTGATCTTTTTCACCTCCATGATTCAATTTGAAGTTCATGCGTTTTGGATTATTATGCATCTAAAAGGTATAATAATTCGAAAATCATGTTGAATCATGCGGGTTAGGTTTCAGGCAGTCTCCTTGGCTATCTTGACATGCTTTTTTCATCCATGTTATACCTGTTTTTCTTTCTGTCTCTAAAGTCACTATTAAGTCTCTTCGTAGAACAAAACAAAACTCAATCTTTATTAGGGTATCTCAAATGTTGAAAATGTCAATTTTTCGCATTGGTTTCGAATGCATTTTTAATAGTGTTTTGATGAGTGATTATTTAGAAGGAGATGTCAAAGATGAGTAGGAGAATCATATTTGGTAGCCAAGGATGACTTGCCTGATTCCTTTGCGTAAAATGGTTAGTGTCATGTTTGACAAAGTGACTATCAATTACATCAAGCGATGACCATTTTGCTTATAAAAAAGATGTCAGGCAGTCTCCTTGGATATCCTTATATGTTCTTCTCTTTCATCTCAGACATTCATCTTCATCCAAAATAAGAGAGGCATGACATGAATGATCATCGAAAGACAATGTTGATGACTTTGAGCTTTTTGCATGTCTATATATATGTAATGTAATACATTAATTTTACGGTTACGGAAGCTCTTTAAGACAAATATGTTCTAAACTCATATACGACGACATAGAGATAGCTATAGCTAGATAGATATTTTAAGGTTGTTATACAAGGAAGAAGAATATATTGAACGTCCTCATCTTTTTTGTTCAACGCTCCACCTTCTATTTAAACACAGATTGAGATCACTTTTAAAACGGAGATAACTTTCCAATCATGTTTTTTTTTTTTTTTTGAAAACATTTCAGATTTGCAGACTTTTATTGATATCCAAAAAATTTGCTCTCCTAATCATATTTTTACTCACAGACTAGTCTACACTTTTTTTGTTATTTACGAATTAATTTGTGTCTCTCTTTGTTTGTCTTTGACGCAGAGCGAATAAAACGACGTGTCGTGAATTAGTATTTTACTTACATAGCTTCCTGTCTCAGGCCTGAACTAGTGAGTGAGCATCGGAGAATCAGAGAAAATGGAGATCGGAATCAGGCAAAGGTATGTCAAATTCATATCTCTTATCTCAATCCGTTTAACGTAGTTTCTGAATAGTGGAAATTTGGTGAATATTACATCAAAAGTGTATGAAGATACACACAAGATATGTGGCACTGTGGCAGTTAATTTAACATCCATCCAACGTTATGATGCATGACCCTACGCAAACAATTTTAGCATCATATTCGAGCATATTAATGTTATCTTATGATTGTGATTTTGGATGCAGAGATTGGTGGGTAGATTTGGACCTCAAGTCTCAGTGATATCAATTATTGTGACGTTTGTTTATTTTGATCGCAACTCCATCAAAGGGAAGCAAAAAAAAAAAAAAAAAAAAAAGGATGCAAAAAGAAGCGTAGAGAATTTTTTTTGGTAGGAGAAGCGTAGAGAATTAATTAAAGCTTTTATAACCTATTCATATTAGCAAAAGATTTCCCTTTATGGAGACCTTTCTCATTTGTAGTTGACTTTTATTTTTTTCCTTGTATCTTTCGAATCATACCAATAACAGAACTACTTTAATCATGTAGAAATATTTTAAAGTTGGTTTGCGACAATCTTTTATTTTTTTATAATCTTATAATTTATCTAATTCAAAATTTGTTTTATTATTCTCTTTTTTAAAAGGTTTTTTTTTACAACTAGGATTTAAACCACACGAAATCTCATTTTGGATCATATATAGTACTTGTAAGACATGTGGTATGGTTCGTGTACTCCATGTCCTCCCTTCCCATCAATATACCATATTCACAAAAGCGTTCCCAACTCCTTTTTCACTAAGTTTTGATCCAGCCTCCAAGCAGAGCCATAAAAATACGTAATCGACCTGACAACAACGTTGTTCTAGTCCTATTCCTCTAAGCAGAGCCATAAAGAATTGTATAAAGCATTTACCTTTTTTTTTTTTTTTTTTTCATAATAAAGCATTTACCTTATAATGTATATTTCTTACTTATAAAACGTTCCAGCGCACTTGTATATATTGTGGCTACTGAATAGAGAAAGGCATCACATATTATTTAGTAACACTTGCATAATTAAAATTAATATTTGAAAACTTAGTTCTAGTTGACAAGCTAGTAATCACCTTTAACATTTATTTTCTGGAAATAATAGAAAGCTTGAAAATGTTAAAGTGTCGCAAAGAGGTATTATTTTTTCAGAAGTTGAAGAAGGCACATCTTTGATTAGTTCAGAACAATATGTCGACAAAAACAAAGTCATTGTATCCTTCCTTTGTAAAATTTATTTCTTTGCATAAAAAGATGAATTTACATGGATTAATAATTTTATTTTTCCTACGAAATTAGATTTTTAAGAAAAAAAACCCACTATTTTGTACAAGATATATACAATCGACAATTACCATGTTGTTTTACAAATAATAATTCTTTTTAGAATTCTATGATTTTATATAGTAATTTTGTATAAAATTTAAAAATGTTATGACCTAAGTTATATTTGAATGTGATATTACAGCATTTTGTTTGTTCTCCAAGTTTGTGATATTATATAATTTGTTTGAAAACAATTTTTAAGGTTTTTATATAATCTATATATACATTTTTGGATGACTTTTAGCAAATAAATCCTGGAGTTGGAATGTATTTACGGATGAATGCCATTGGCATTAATTATTTAAATTTGAAAAATATTAATTAAAGATATTACCAACACGATTTCGAGAATCATAAATTCATATCTTCCTTAATTTTCTGAGTCATTAATGTGATAATCTTTAGGAAATATTTCTCTCTAAAAAAAAAATCCACATTAATGAAGGCATTACGCTAACAATTAAATTATTTAGATATTCAATTATTTTAAGATTCTTATATCTTATTTGATATTATTTTTAATATCTCATTCTTTAATTACTGCGTTTAGAATTTATTGGTTGTTACCTGGTGAATTTATTGGTTGTTACTTAATAAGTAATTATGGTGCGTTTATTTTAGTTAATATCTAATTTAAAGAATTTGTTTTCTTTTATTATTAATAAACGAATAACATGTATAGAAATAAACGATTTTTCTTGCGACTCCATAATAAAAATATTAAACTCTTATTTTCTACATTTCTTACACATAATATCCTCTTATTCAATAACAAAAAATATATATTGCATATTTTTAAAAATATTTATAATATTTATATTATATAAAAAGTTTGTAATATTAATATTATTTCAACTCTATACAAATTTAATATATATGTATATATATCTTATGGGAACCATTTCACGGGACGGGTAATATGATGGGACGGGTAATATGATGGGACGGGTTTGGATTGATATTTATAAAAGATAGTATACCACGGGTGAAATCCTAAAATTAACAATCAAAATAATCTATCAAACAAATTACATTTTGATTTTTTTAAGAAAATATAGCCCCGCGGTGTACCGCGGGTTAAAATCTAGTTTTAAATAGTAATTTTGTATAAAATTTTAATACTCCCTAATTACATTGTGTTCTTTTTAACTGCAACCCAAAATACTAACCGGATTAGCGGTACGTTCTTCTTAGGTGGAACTGATTTGGGAACCATAATCATGGTCCTGCAAAGACATAAAAATAGAATTGGAAGCAGTTAAAAGGATGCATCTAAATGATGAAAAGAAACACTCACACATAGAGAAAGGCGATGAAAGAGATAACGTAACGCAGTGGCTCTTCAAATGAATCCCATACTCCTTCATAAGGTTCATATTACTTGGTAAACTTGTGAATCATCTTCAGAGTATAGGGCAACACCAACCAGGCAGTAAACCATGCACAGAAGATAGCGAAAAAAACACTAACCCAGAGAGAATGAACGAAATTAGGACATGAGCATCTTTCCCCATATGAACCCAATCGTTCTTGTTTCCACGACCAATGGCACATAGAGGATGAGCTCTCTTCGTGCTGAAGAGTGATGGGCGTGGTAGACGAGTCCTTTTACAAGCTTCATACATAGTTGTGGTTACTGGTATTGTAAGTGCTTTCGATAGCCTTAACGGTTTGACAGTCTCCTCGTCTCCTGTTAAACCACTGCTTCATATCCAAATCATCATGTACAACATAGAAAAAAGTTGAATCAAATCACAATAAAGTAAAACCAATTAACTTGTTACTGTACCAAATCACAATAATGTTCTAGAGAATATCTAGGGTATATCGTGTATAAAAAATATTTACAGTTATCGATATATGTACTTTCTCTAGGGTATATCTCCTGTTAAACTACTTTTCCATATCCAGAAGAGAAAAAAATTGAGAATATGCCACGTGGCGTCTCCTTCTTTCATCGGCACAGTGTACAAGAGGGCCGCTCAAACATCGGTTCATGTAAGTTTTAGTGTATCACAGACAAATTATTAGCCGCCAAATGTTTTAAATCTTTTGTAGATTCATATCGTCTTTCTTCGCCATCATTAGTAAGATCTCTGGCCACCGTACAATCTCCGAAAACGGTAACTGAATCCCGTTGGCGATAACCACGGGAACACAACCTGACACGGCAGATTCCACTAACCTTGGACTCCATATTCCCCACCCGAAAGGACATAGACAAAATATTGATCGCATGATTTCTGATCGGTATCCAGCAAAAGGTGCCAGTTTAGATAAAACCGGTGTCAGTTTAAATATAACCGGGGCCGGTTTAGATAAAACCGATTTCTTCCTCCGAATTTCGTTCTCTAGTGTTTTCATGCCCGACCCGAACAGTCCGGTCCGACCTGTTAACCCGCGACCCGGACACTGGTTGAACTGGCCGGGCCTGAGTTTAAAGAAATTCATTTGATTTTTGGTTTTCTGTAATAAAATTAATGTTTTAGGCTTTTAGTGTATTTACTATTCAATTATTATTTTTAACTTTTTTAGTTCTTCGGTTTTTGTAAACGGTTTTATTTAGATTTAAAAAATTTAATTACTTCATAATTATTGTTAGACTTCATATTTTATTAACCATGGAATGATTTTTTTTTTATTTTATATAACTATAAAATTTTTATAATTAATAAATACATTATAAATTTGAATCAATTGACCCGTAGTCGAATCCGGTTGACTTATTGACCCGATGATCCAGAAGGCAGTCCGGGTCGGGTTAAAAAAATTGACGTTCTCACTCACCTTCACGCCGGGAAAATGGCATTTTAGTAAATTAAACGAGAAATCCAAAATTACTATTTAAAACATTGGATTAAGGGACTCAGGATACTTAATACTTGGTCTCAAACTATGATTACTTGATTCAATTTATATTATGTACAAGTTTTTTTCTTTATCTTGTATATTCCTTGCAAGGTGAAAGTAAAAAGTAAAACCTAATCTAAAAACAAGCTTATAAGAAAAAGAAAAAGAAAAAACGTAGCACTTGTAATAATAACTAAGAAACAATAAATCAACGGAGGAAAGTCAAAAACAAAAACAGAATGGCTTTCACAGAAGAATCAGTTCTTGTCTTAATTTAAAGAAAAAAAAAAAAAAACATACACCTAATTTGGGAAGGACACACTAAACCAATCAGAATCTCAGAAACCAGAAGCATTGAACCAGTTCCATGTTTTGGTCTGAAAAGGACTAGAGAATCCACACAAATGGCGGCGCATCCATTCTTGTCCCAACCACAGTCCGGTAGAGATACATTTTATCAACTTTCTGTCTTCCTTCGTGTCCGTTTTCCTCCATCCGGTTATTATCATTCTCGTTTATGATCTCAACATTGAGCCATGGCGCTTTCTGTGCGAGCCTTTTGCATCCGCTGAGTGTGACTTCACATGACGACATCCAAAGGGATCGCATTGTTTCGTACTTGCTCACATCAGCAAGAAGCGCCGTGTCGCCAAACGGACTATCCCGAATCTCTAGCTTTTTCATCTTTTTGCAACCATTCAACACATAAAGCATGCCTTTGTCTGTATCCCCTGCGAAAGCTATTGAGAGCATCTCGAGCTGATTCGCATACATACCGATGTAGAGGAAGACTTGGTCTGTGAGGAGACCTGAGTGGGAAAGCCGTCTCAGGCTCTTGCAGGCTTTCACAATTGCTCCAAACCCTTCGTCCAGAGGTTGAGATGTCACGTGATCGGGTTTGTTTGGCTCCAGGATGCAGAGTCTAAACCGGATGAAATTTGGACAGTTCTTGGCAACGGTTACGAGAGCTGCGTTTGTCATCTGCTGGCAGAAGTATAGTATCGAGTGAAGCTTAGGGCAACCCGCGGAGATGGCAACTAGACCTTCTTCGGTCACAGCTGTGTTGCCTCCACCGAGTAAATCAGATGGAAAAACTCTAAGCTCTTGTAACTCTTTACATGTAGAAGCTACAACTTCAAGCCCTTTGTCACCTATACTATCCAATATCTGCAATAAAACATCGAAAGCATTACATATAAATCTATCTGCTCGGTTCATATATACACTTTATGAAACATTAGCTTACCCATAACCGCTGAAGTTTCTTGCAATGCTGAATAAGCTTAATAAGGTGGCTGCCATGAATCTCAGCTGCATAACTAAGATTCAAGGAGGTAAGGTTATGACATATTGGGTGGAAAGCTGAGAGACAGTGAGGAGCAGCCTCTAGAAAACCCGACAAACTCCTTAACGAAGTGCATTTCTTTATAGCAGCCTTGAGTTTCATGTAAGACTCTGAATCTGGGTCATTCTCATACGACCCTACTCCTAAATCAACTATCTGCGGCGCACACGCCATTAACCTTGCAAGTGCATCTAACGGCACTGCACGGTTTAGCTTCAGACTCTTTAGGTTTGGAGACCTAGCAACAAGCCTCTCTAGAGCAACCAGATTTGTTTCTCCTTCAAGACAGGCAAAGTTAAGCGTGACAAGGGTCGTACAAGTGTCGGGGAAACAACTTAACCATTGACCTCTATGATCATCGATTTCATTCTCTTGCAAGTCAAGATCCCGAAGATGCCTACAAAGAAAACAGAATTCATAAAACAGAGTTACAGAACTAATACAAATATACTTATAACCCTCAACAAACACCACTAGACATTTGTAAGTCACAACCAAGAGGAACCATTGCAATAACTAAACTGATTATTCCACCTATTTTAACCGTAAATCGGATATTATTGTTCAATCAAAAGCTCGAAACCACAATGAAACAAAGCATCTAATATTCAAGCTTAAGTCAGAGATATCAAAGCTAATATTGCAAAACAAACTAATACCTGCAATTAGCGGCAATAGAGGCAAGACCATCAGTAGTAAAACCTTCACAGCTAACAAGCACCAAAGACTTAAAATTCACAAAAGAACGAGAAAGCAGCTCAAGACTCTCATCAGTAACAACCATCCTCTTCAACCTAAGCTCCTCAAGTCCTACACGACTTCTAGCTAAAGCCTCAATCCAAGGTAGCACAAAACCTCCCCATTCATGAGGAACCAAATTGAAATCCGCAAAATGAGGTTTTCCTTTCAAAGTCAAAGACTTTAAACATGGGAATCTCCGAAGCAACCTCTCTGGATTAATGGCATAACAGTTTCCAATGAAAACCTTTTGCCTACTGAATCTTTCAATCTTGTACCATGATTTGCATACAAGAGATATAGCATTCCTGTCTTTGTGAGATGTTACGAAGTCGAATACGTGCTCTATTACTTCATCTGGGAAATAATTCATCTCTAACTTCAGCAGCAAGATTCAATTCACCAGATCTTGAACTTGAGTTTGACTTAGAACATAGGAGCTCAAGAACACAGAGATGACTTAAAGAAGTGAATTCAACAGATCTATAGATCTGGAGAGTAAAAACAAATACTAGATCTATCAAGAACAAGACTGAAGAAGAAGGAACTCGAATCAGTTTAAGAAAAAAAAATGAAGAAATTCTCAAGAACTGTGATGATTAATACAAAAGAAGAAAACGTTGACAATGATCAAAGAGAATCAAATAATAGATCTGTAGAAGAAAATCAGAAAACCATAAATAGAAACTTTGCTTAGTTTCTTGAAACAAAAAAAGAAAAAAATCAAGAAGCTAATGATGATGAGAATGATGATTTTCAGAAGATTGATGAGAGAGATCACGTAACCAAAGCAAAGCAAAAGACCAGAAAGAAGAAGAACAAAACTCTCTCTCTCTCTCTCTCTCTCTTTCTTCTGTTTTCTTGGTGACTTTGGTAATGGAGAGAAAATAAAAAGTCTTGAAGGACATCACAGAGGCCCCTACCTGGCTGACCGAAACAAACCGTGGTTAAAGATTAAACCGTGGTTAGGTTTAGAGATGATCTAACGGTGGAGATTAGTTTGAAGAAGAAGAAGAGGAGATGGATCTTGACCGTTGATGGGAAATGGCATGCATGTGTCCTAATCACTGGTTACGAGGCCATTCGCCAAAGAGAAAAAAAAAAATAGAAGGTGATGTTGTAGTGTCAGACTTGAGAGAGATTTTGTAATTGCCCTTGGTTTTTGCTTTAATTACGGAGATATGCCATTATTGTCGTCTGGGCGAGTAAGAGAGATTTCTATACTCGCAGAAAAAAGTCATTATAAAGAGTACTTACTTTTAATAATTATCAATTATTCAACGAATTTATGTGATTAAAGATTGATTAGTGATTATTTAAAGACTATGTAACTAAATTAACCATTCACTTTTTCTCTATTGATAGTTTTTTTTCAACCACACTTATTTGCTCTAAAAAAATCAATGGATAGTTTGATCAAAAAAAACAAAGTTAACAGAAATAACATGGGAGACTCATAAAAATACCCCTTTTTCAATACCCATTTTCAAAAATGCTCCATTTGGATGTCCATTTTTAAAAATACCCCTTTTATTTACAAAATGACTAAATTACCCTTCTTTTAATAAAAGATATCATAAATATATAAAGAAATATAACAAAATTAGGTCCACAAAATACAAAATATTTTTTGGCGGAAAAAGTGATCCCCCAATTTTTCCCGCCACCCACACTTGTAAAATTTGTAAAACCTTTAAATACCTTGTAAATTTTCCCTTACAATTTTTGTCCCTCCAAATGGTGCATTTTGCGGGAGGCGTGATTCCGCGGAGTCTTTGGCTGTGATCTTCAATGTTGTGAACAGATTACGGCGGGAAAATTTCTCGCGGGAAATATATTAAAGGCGTTCTAACAAGTTTTTACAGGGTCTTTATCAGGTTCTACAATGTATTTTAAAAGGTTTTACAACGTATTTATAAAGTATTTCTAAGATATTATACGCTTTTACAAGCTATTTTATAAGGTTTTACAAGTTATAAGGTTTTACAAGTTTTTTATAAGGTCTTACAAGTTATAAATACCTTATAAAACCTTATAAGTCCCTTGTAAAACCTTTTAAAATACATTGTAAAACCTTACAAAACACTTGTAAATACTCCGTAAAACCTTTAAAATACCTTGTAAATTTTTCCCGCCAAAAATTTTCCCGCCAAAAAAATTTCGGCAAAAAATTTGCGGAATCACTTTTCCCGCAAAAAAAAATTTTTGGCGGGAAAAATTTTTACGGGAAAATTTTACAAGGTATTTTAAAGGTTTTTACAAGTGTTTTGGCGGGAAAATTGTGGGATCACTTTTCCCGCCAAAAAATATTTTGTATTTTGTGGACCTAATTTTGTTTCAAATAAGGGTAAAATGGTCATTAAAAATTAAAAGAGGGCAAACTTAAAAATGGACTCTCAAAAACGGCATTTTTGAAAAGGAGTATTGAAAAAGGGGCATTTTTAACAATTTCTCAAATAACATTAGCATACATAATCTTAGATATGCTTACATAAGAAAAAAAATCAAAATACTAATCATCTCTTCTAATCTAATTTTTTTGAAGTAAACATAAAATATTAATTCTGAAACGTAATGATTTTATCGAAAATCGTTAAATAAATTTTCAAAATCAATAATTTATAATATTTTTGTGAATAGCGAAGATAGTTAAAACATCAAAAATATAAAGAAAGTTCAAATCCATTGTTAATAAAAGAAGCAATGGTCGTCAAGGGACCTTGTATCACTTTATTATTTTAAATTTCTAACTAATTACTAAATTTTGAAGAGAAAAAATCTCACTAACCCGATTTATCAAACATATCATGTTTAGAAGCCAGAAAAAAAAATCAAAAGCATCACGTTTCTATAGTAAAACTTTGGTTTAAATTTACACTAATATGCTGTTGAATTTTTTAATTAAAATGGGGCCGTAGGCGAAGGTTTCATTTTGGGTAACGTAGCCATGGCCCTGTGCTTAGTTAACGATGTGAAACATGTCTTAGAGGAAACTAAATTCTACATATCTAAAAAATTGGACAAAGCATGAATAAGTTCTACGTATTCCATCTAAACATATTGTCAATCGAATATTTACACGAAGATGTTCATTATATTCATATCAATGTTTATTTCCCCGAATAAAATGAGTATAAATTTCATTTTTGATATTTAGTATTTTAAAATACTACTGTATTTGATCATCTATATATTTGCAATGAAGATGTTCATATCTAAAAAAGTGGACAAAGCGTGAATAAGTTTTACGCATTCCATCTAAACATACTGTCAATCGATTTTTTATACGAAAATGTTTATTATATTCATATCTATGTTTTATTTCCGAAAGCGAGGATAAATTTTATTTTTGATATTTTGTATTTTAAAATACTATTTGTTCATCTATATATTCGTGTATATATTCAAAATGAAGTAGATATATATATACACATTTTGGCTCAAAAATGAGATAGGATTTGAGCTCTTCCATAAACCACCTATTTGACACTTCTTATTAAGTTATTATTAATAGTTTGTTTTTTAAGATTTTAATTTCAGAGGCGACGTAGTTAATTACACAAATCACAGTTTGAGATTTTCATATTAATTTTTGGGTGTTAAAGGAGGAAAAAGAAGAAAAGCAAGGCTGGCTGAATTTGTCTGGTTATGAGGACATACACCATCCGTGGACATACGTAGTCAGTAGGTGATGACATTAGCAAATTTAGTATTAAATTCCTTTTTTCATACCAAATAAATCCAAACGCCACTCAAATAATTTTTTGTTATAAAAAACAAAAATAATTAATTTAGGTATAAAAATGGTGGCAACAATTGAAATGAATATGCTAGCTTGTGGTAATTGTGAAAAAAACAGTGTACACATGGTTGAAACTTGAAACGGTCGGCTGAAATATTAAATGATACATGAAAAAAATGTTAAGGAATCTACGACAATTGTTGTTAATTTTGTCCGATTAAGAAAGCAAACGAAAATATATTTTTTTTACTATTGAGAAATATAGATGAAACAAATATTCAAGACAATCATATTTACATATACAAATTATTCATTATTCACACCAATGCTTACAAAAATATTTAAAAAAACTTTGGAGCTGTTAACCATATTTTCTCAATGGTGACAGAAGAAGATGAACACACTAAACACATCAACCATCCTTGGCCAATAAAACTTTAAAGTGAAAATACAAAAGAATATTATATATATAACTATATATATATATATATATATATATATATGTGTGTAAAAAATAATGAAAAAAAGATGTGTGCAGCCTTCATAATCAAACTCAATTATAGACCCACTTGCATATAATTACAAAAGGGAACACACAAAACAAAAGTATTATTATTGGTTGAAAGAGAAGACTCACTTCCTTGCCTCTGAGGCTCTGACCACCAAACTTTTGTTTAGTTGTTTTTACTTTTTAGAGAAAATATTTGATATAAGACTAATTAATTAGCTAACAATAACTAAATTAGAATGAATTAGCAATTGAAGTGTAAAATACATCAGTGGGATAGAAACATTAATAAAATACATATTATTGCATATTCTTCTTTTTTTTTTTTTTTTTTTTTTTTTTTTTTTTTTTTTTATGCATATTCTTCTATACATCCATAATATTATATTATCCTACAAATGACTTACATCTTTTGTTAGATGGATCTTTGCAATCATTCCTTACATTCATAAATGTAGAAATCTAGTTTACAAATTTACAAACAGTTCGTTTTTTTTTAACCATGGAAGAGTATCACTTTAATATTATTGCAAAAAAAGTACCACTAGTGGATCAGAAAGATAATAATAATTAGTAAATTTATGTTAATACCAAAAATAAAATCGTTCGCTGAATGTTGAAGATCTAATTGGGGCAATTAATTCATGTCTAATTTTGTCAAGACATGTTTTGTTTAATTTAAACTCTTTATGATATGTTAATGTAAGAATGTATGGATATAAATGGGAATATTGGTGGATTGGCATTGTTGTTTTTGTGGATAGGTCCACTCATCTCTTGTATCTCATCATATTCTAAAAATGGCTGCCATGTGAAGACCACCACTTAATTTCTCTCTCTTTCCCCTTTATATAATCCTATGTCAAATTTTCATTATTACCCTAAATTAAGCATAATTGCAGTTTTTGTTTTCGTAAATCATTTTTTTTGAATTTAATGTTAAATTATATTCAAAAGAAAAAATATACGTTGTTACAACTAGTGCATCGGGAGTTTGAGAAATTTAAGAACTGAAATTGTGTTTGAGATTTCTAAGACTTATATTCGGCTTTGTAGCCAAGCTTGAAAACAGGCTTCGTATCGACGGTCCGGCAGTTTTCGAATGGTTGTGATCTGGTTTCGAACTTGAGCATCGATCCACTTTGTTAGCTGAGCCGTACTGTTCGGCGCTTCCCCGTGTCTCCGGCCATTCCGCTCCCTCCAAATGGTGTAGAAAGTGGCCTGGAAAACGTATTTTGTCAAGAAACTCTCGACCCGGCATTGATGGTGATCAGAGACATGATGGAGGATTTGGGTCCAGTCGGTTGAATAATGAGATCTAAACACGCCTTTAGCTAGTGCCTCCCAGACTTCCGAAGCATAGCTGCAAGAAAAAAAGAGATGGTCTCGAGTTTCCGTGCATTGGTTACACAAAACGCAGTCCCCCGAAGCTCCCCTGTTCCACTTCATCATCTCGAGTTTTCGTAAATCATTTCCTAGCCGTAATTTGCTGGTTTCACTCTATTGATTGAAATCTCAAGTCATCAGTAGATGTATAAACACATTTTGATAGGTCGAATCTCTTATAAGGCTATACTTTATATGCAGAAATAATAAATGTTGAATACAAAAGATATTAGACAAATGAATTTCAAAAACAAAACTCATCTATATAACTTTTCCAACCAAACTAATTTAAGCCAAATAACTTGATGTATTTGTTAGTTACTACCAAATATACACAGACGTTTTGATTGATAATGTTTAGAACTATGAAATCGTAAATTACTATAAAAAATAGAGACCAATAAAAATGTA